ACGTACGTTTGACTGTGATGTTAAACTTCTTGGTTGTGTCTGTGTTATCCCCGTGTTGGAGGTCCACCCGGTATTCCATGCCGTCCTCCTTCACCAGGTCCCTGATGGTCAGGTCCCCTGCAGGAGAAAGAGGCCATTCACCCCTCAATAACTATTTTATGGTTATAGAAATCATCTTATGTAGAAATACAGTAGGGATGTCCCAATCAAGCTTTTTGTATTCAAGTTGAAAGTTATTTATCTACTTACTTAGTTGTCAGACTCATGTTGAACAGGGATTTACTCTTGCAACAACTTAATGGTTAGGACACAGACCTGTGGGTTACAGATGCTAATGCCAATGCTAATGCTCGTGTGGGATCTGACTTTTTAAAAAAATGGATCTGGAGTCTGGATCAGCATTTTCTCCTGCCGGCCGATACTATCCAAATATCGGATCGGGAGAAGACTAAAAAACAAACTAAAAAAGGGGAGGTGAAAAATTAATTTCATACTCAAACCAAAACCTCCACCCCCCCCCCCCAAAAAAAACAAAAAAACATCAATAATATCCTCATAAACTCACTATATTATTTAGGAAAAAAGCAATATTTTACTCACTTTTCTTGAAAAGACCGTTTTGAAAATGGTCTTGACAGTAAATCTGCCGCCAAATCATAAAATAGCTATTACACCAACATAACTGTATTTCGGTTTGTTTGCTAGCTTTGCCGCTGATTGGATATCTGACTATCCAATCAGCGGGCCTGAATACGGGGACGTTGCCTAAGGCCTTCTAGAAGGCCCCGGTGTCACCAACCTAAAATCTGATTGGTTAAAGCGTACTCGACATGTATTTTCTGTTGGAGGGCCTGCAGAACGGATTGTGAAGGCCTCCTGGCAGACATCTTTGACTTTGACCCTGCCTAGCGACAAATTATGGCTGAAATGTGATTGGTTAACTGCTTTCATATGAAAACGCATGTCTGGAAGCAGCGCAACCAGGGGAAAAGCTATGAAAGGAAGCGGACAGACCATTTAGAGATATTTGATAAGTATCCGTGGACAAAATATAATTAGCATCAGTCTGTGATTCAGGTATTTTCTTAGGCCTGCAGAGAAGGCCTTGCAGGCCCTGACGGACCACCACTGCCTCCTACCTGTGACCACGTCCAGCTCCAGCCGGCCTCCGTAGCGCGCCAAGCGGCGGGTGTTCTTCCTCCCGTTTTGGAACGTGGCGATCCAGGTGTTGTTCCGGAAGATGAACCACTCAATCCTGGAGACGTTCCACGTGGAGTCGGCTCCGGAGCGCAAGGTGACGGTGTCGCCCACATAAGCGGAGACCTCCTCATTGGACTGAAGCAGCTCCACTGGACGGGGGTTAAAGAGGCTTGTGTCCAGTGTGGGTGTCCAGTAACAATTTCAGTCAATATCAGCTCAGTAAAGAGTACCAAAGCCAGTTTAAACCATAAAATATGTGGTTTTACTGTTAGAATTAGGCTATAATTACTCACTTTGTAGATTTCTTGCTTTTAGTTAACTGTTAGCAGCTAGCTTGTTTTTGGTTGATTTTCCATTGAATGTATTGTTTTTCTTTGGGTTTTGTTGATAGAACTCTGTTAGTCTGAGAGCGACAGCCTGAAACGTTTGCTAAGGAGTGGTAAAATTTGGTTATAAATACTCACTTTAGCATAGTATGCTATCACATGATCTATGTAAATTACTGATTGTTTTTATTCCTTTTAGAACTGTACTTTGTGTTGATGTCTCTGGCTGTGTCCACAGACTCTCTTTTTCTCTCTCTGTTGCATTAGATCCACCTTTAGGTCAACACACACACACCATTTGTTACCACATTCCTGTCATCTGCATGAATTAGGACCTGGCCTGTTCCTGCCCAGAGGTAACTGGCCAATAGGACTTGGTTGTGTCCAGTCCTCCTTTGAGGAGGCGGATCGAGCCCAGGAGATAATGCCCATCACCCAGATCTCAGGGCTCTAACCCACTGAGACCCAGAGAGAGGTTTTTGTCTGCCAGAGCCCAGCTGATACACTTAACTGTGACCCAATAAATGTCCATTTTTATACCTTTGATCCATTCTGGTTTGTCCTCAGGTTTCCAGCTAAAGAATCGGGCCCAGCATATCTGGGAGGTCAAACCCATCGATTGGCCCCCCCTGATTGATTGACACAGAGAGGCATGACACGTGCAAAGTGGTGGCTGAACAGGCCCTTACCGACCGCCCACTCCTCACACGGTGGGAAAATCCCTAAAGTTTCACCACGGGATTCTTCAAAAAAAGGGGTAAAATCTACTTTTGTGAATGTTTTATGAGTCTGTGTCAACTGGAAACAGTTTTGTCCCATTATTGACCTTTTTAAAAAAAATCTAAACAGCCATTTCTCTTCCACCCTCAGGCGGTGTTGAGGGCAAGTGCCCTGTTTGTGGGGCCCCCGGGGGCCTCTACCCGGCGTGGTTCAGGCCTCCTAACCGCTCCGGAATGGGTACTACCTTGACTTTAGGTACTCTAGCCACTCCGGCCGTGGCTGAGAGGTTTTTTCCGGTTCGTTTTCCAATGGGCGATCAAATAGCAACAAAGAAGCGTCCGAAACACCAAAGAAAACCGCCAGAAGATATTATATCTAGGATAAGATTTGGACATACAGGTTTAATAAATAGTAATCTGAAAATAATTCATAAGCATAATACAGGGTGTTGTAATTGTGGGAAATTGTAAACAGTCCAACATATTTTTTTAGAATGTAATAAATATACTCAAGAAAGAGAGATGTTGTGTGGAGAATTCGGCAGGAATAAAATAAAATTAGATATAAGGGATTTGTTTCAAAGGTCATCTGGGGATGTAGTTTTTGGAAGTATTTTCAGTTTTCTAAGAAGAACGGGTGTGTTAGAGAGAATTTAATAGATTGTCTGATCCATACTCCATTCTGGAAGGTGGCGGTAATGCACCTAAAAGTTGTATACCAACTGCCATTTAAAAAAAGAGAAGAACAAGAAGATGGTTGTTAGAATAAAAGTTCCATCTTATGGTCCATATTCTTTGATGTTTTTGGATGGGAACGTTTGGTGTTGGGCTAAACGTTGAATAAATAGCTGACCCTAAACTCCCCCTTTTCCGTCTCCTGACTTTTGGGAAGGTTAGTTAAATTTCTCCCAGTCTGAGCCCACCCCTGAGCTCTAAGGGTCACAATCAAACCGCTCCATCCTGTTAATGTGGAAGGGCCACATGATCATCCAGCCATTTTCTCACATTTCCCACTCATCCCCAATCAGGATCCCAGCATTGTAGCTTTTCTCTTCCATATTTAATGATGTTTAGTGAAAAGTAGTGACATTTTATTGCTCTGTTTACTCTTTTCTCTATTATAGATCAGGCTGAAAAAAACACAAATTTGAAATAAATAGCCGTGTCATCCAACGGTGAAAGAATCAGAAACTTCAGTTCTTTTTACCATAACCTTAATTTTATTGGGGGTTTTTTTGGTCATTTAATATATACTCCTTAACAAATCAATGAATCTGTTATAAATATTGACAATTTTTTTTATTTACTCTTATTTCCACTCTTAATTTTCCAATACTATCAATGACTGTTAAGCCAGCGCTAAAAAAAATACCCTGTTCAGTGTTTCTTTTCTATGGTCTTTGTGAGGACCGTGTTTTGTAATGAAACGTTGAAACGAGGACATTTTGTCAAAGTGAGGACCTGATACCAGGTGCTGCTATTTTCATTATATAGAGGCTATAATCTGTCACAGATCACCTGAAATGTTTGTAAATATTACTAAGAATTTAGCTGCGAGCCAATCTCATTATCTTCTATGGGATTGGCAGCAACTATCAAAAAACTTTATAAGGCATAAATGTCATAGCAAAAACATGGACTAAAGAGATTTTTAAATACCATTGTGTATTCAACATGCACATACAGTCTGGCTTTACCACACAAGTGGACATTTGATCCAGATAAGTGACCACTGGTCAATTAGACCATTCTTTTAAAAAAGAAAAAAAAAAAATTAAGAGGTTTAAATGAAGAGCGGTGCAATCCAACTCTGAAAAAAACCCCAGAAACTTCTGTTGTTTTTCCCATCACCTTCATTTTATTGTTTTTTTTTTTGGTCTTTCATATGCTGAACACACAGAAACAAAAACGGAGAGCACAGCAGCCTGTTTCAGTTGATCCAAACTGTCACAAACACTGTGGTCTGAAAACAGCACAACAGAAACAGTGAATAAAAACTGGTGTTCGGTGAATAATCGCTGCACGGCTGCATATTCACTTCAAACTAACTTTGACGCTCTTTGCAAAGCCCAAAGCAGGCTGTCTCTACCTTATCTACCTTAAAGCATTTCCCTTCAAACAAACAGCTAAAAACATTTTCTTACAATCAAAAGCATCCAATCACACATTTCTACTTCAATCTATTCATGATTTGATTTCTTCATTTGTATCTTAAAGGATTTAAACTTGGAAATAAACCCTGTCCTAAAAAGCTAACAAAACATCACCAGCACAGAAAAATCAATTAGTGGTTATATTATCCCCCATTTGATGATTTTACCAACTTATAAAGACTAATGATAATATGCGATTATACCAAATTTATCAGGGGTTCGGATAAACATTAGATTATCTAAAAAAGTTTCAACGAAAAATTTAATGGGGTCCTTCACCAGGTTGGAAATAAGCAGAGAAAAGGTCAGGATCTGAGCTCATATGTTCACACATCCAAGCTCCAGAACAGGACCAGACAGGAGTCAGAGGTCGTCAGGAAGGATCGGTCATTCAGTCACCTGAGAGGAGAAGCAGAAAACCCGTGGATGAGTCTTCTCTCTGAATCCGTTTGGGCCACTAACGCCACACTTATTCCACCTCTGTGCTCTGAGTCTGTGTCTTTATTCCCATCCTCTGAGGCTCGGGGTTCTGAGACCCCTCGGCATTTTTCAGGGACATGTTTATCTGCTACGGGCCTCACTATATCTACAATTCTGGCTTCCACACGATCACATGTTTATTTTTTCTATCGGTCAGATCTTTTTACAGGAACACGCTCACATGTAAGCATGGTGCTCATTCCCAGCTGCGGACTCTTACCTAATTACTCCAGGCCATGCTGATGAAAGCTGAACCTCCACGTCTGAACTTGGACCTGGCAGACCTCCTCCTTCTCTTACCGCCACCTGAACAATCCTGGAAGATGGAAACTGTCTTTTAGAGCCCAGAACTGAACACAAACAGTGATTCTTTCATTTGACTGGATCAAATTTAAGACGTTGAGCAGGAGGAGTTACATTTTAGCTGCTTTCCGTTCTTTCAGACTTTGACACAATAAGCAGCAGACACCACTGAAAATACCTCACTGATATACAGCAGATTGAGAAATCGCCTTCAGGAGTATTTCACAGAACTGCTCTGAGAGAGCCATGAAAAAAAAACGCTTCCAGGGAGCCGTACCGGGATGCAACTGTTGTCCTTCTTGGCACACAGCTGCAGTTCGCAGTGCAGGTAGACCTCACCAGACTTCCCAGAAAAATCAAACATTTTGAAGGCGAAGTAGCTGAGGGTTCCTTCTCCATTTTTCTCGACATCCACCGTCCGATCGTCGGGATTTTCACAGCTGTTTGCACAAAGAGAGCCGATGATCAGAAGAGACGCTGATGAATGAATCCAGGAAGCAGCGGCTGCCAGGACGGAGCGTCTCACCCATTCAGGATCAGGTCGTAACTCGGGGTGCTGGTGGGTGAACTCTGGCTTGTTGCCCAGCAGGAGTCAATTACCAGAGCGACCAAGTTTCCATCCAGCCCGTCCGTCTCCAGCTCCACCCAGACCTTCTGGTTCAGCAGCACGTCGGTGTTCGGATCCACAAGTGTTGTACGGCCGGCGTCGGTGAAGGCCTTCATGGTCAAAGTGTAATTCAGAGTTCCAGATCTGATGTGCTGGACCACAGAGCTGCAGAGCACACACATAAACACACCGGCTGCCTTTACAATCCACAGCAGCATCACATCTCTCACAGTTAAACCAAAGCATGACAGCCAGCACTCACCTGTCTTTGACTCTGAAGCCCACAGTCTTCATCTCTGGCTGAACTTGAGTGCAGGAGAAGTCGATAGAGATTTGGTCTTGGCGAGTGATGACGCCGGAGGAGGCGTTTGGGCTCATAATGGTGTTCTCGTAAGTCACATGGCTGTCGTTGGCCTGCAGGGGCCAAAATCAGATGTTTTTGCTGAACCTGCTGCTTTGTGTTTGCACCGTTAACAGGTTTCAGAAGTGAAAATCTGCCTGAGAGTCAACAACAAGACGGGAGGCTACAAAAGAACTAAAGGGCTGAAGGAGAAGCCGGGCAGAGAGTCAGAGAGCGAGGAGGACGGGAGAACCCACCGTGACCACCACCCCACAGGGGTTGGTGCTGTTGAAGCTGAAAGTCACCGTGTCGTTCCCCTCGTCTCTCTCTCCCTTGCAGCTCTCATCGTTGAGATGTAAGACAGAGTAGTCGATGCCTTTCTCCCTCAGGAGGCAGCCCAGGAAAGTGACAGTGGCAGAGCCCTCTGAGCAGACCGCGGGGTCCCCTGCACACAGACGGACAGTTCAAGCTTTCCTCTCATCTCTCAGCCCCTTTATGTGGTGCAGCTGTCCCGCCGCTCATACCCAGAGTGCCTGATTCTCTGTACTTGGATGATTTCGTGCCCCTACAGAGGCAGACGGCGTCACCGTCCAACTCTCCACAGAAGGCACCGTCACTGCAGAGCTGGTCCTGACAGGAGTCCGTGGGGGGGGCTGCAGAGAGACACGGTGATTTAACATCATGGAAAATGTCACAGCTGGAAATAAAAACGTCCTCTCCGGTGGCGCGGTGTCTTACGGCACTCAGCCTCCGACCACCATCCCTCCAGTGTGCTGTTGTTCATGCTGCAGGCTTTGGCATAGGCGCCCAGGAACTGACACCTGAGACCGTCCACTTCTGGGTATTTGCACAGAGTGTCCGAGCATGCGGTGATGTAGGGCGCGGGGTCGATCTCTTCGTGGCAGGAGGAGAAGGGGGCGTCCATCAGCAGGTTGCAGCTGTTCCACACACGGGAAGACAGAAGAAGAGAAACAGTCAACCGAAGACCTCATTTCCTTTGTGTTTGTCCTCCGTCTCTGCTGGGGTCACATGATGCGGCCCACGTGACGTTGAACTGGATCCAGGTGCAGGCGCCTCCTGCTGCCTGGATGGATTAGCTCACCGATCAGTCACGGCGGTGCAGTTGATTGTGCTGTCGGCAGGTTCGGTATACGGAGTGTCACAGCTGTGGATGAAAAACACAACAAGCTCAGGACTGCTGTCCGTCTGCGGACGGTTCAGAGAGCATCTGCTGCTCAGTCCCTGAGCTGGAGAAGAGGTGGTACCTGGAGGAGCTCTGCTGACGGTGCTTGGAATCCGAAAAGGAGCTGGAGTTCACGCACAGGCCAGAGAAATACTGCAAACCATACTGAACAAGGTCTGCAAAGGTTCAGGACAGAATGAGTCACAGCGCCACAAATGTGAACACTCAGTAAACACAGAAACACTAAAACAATTGATTACCTTCTGCATAGATCTGAGCTGTGTCACCATCAAAAAACAATGACATCACCGTCACACCTTGGATCTTCGCTGACGCATGTACTCCAGTGTGGTCTTTGAACAAATCAATCATTTCAAAGTTCTGGACTGTGCTGTTGAGGTCCAGCAACACGCCGTCTTTCTGCAGAAAGATGGAGAAAAGCCCACTGAGCTTATTTAACTGTTTCTACTTTAACTGATGGAAACTCTGAATAAATGTAACTTACCAGGACTCTACCGCCCTGTTCCAGGTGAAGCTCTATTCTCGGAAATGTCACTGTCAAGCTGTCCAGAAAGCTCACGTCTGTGCGACGGCGCTCCCTGAAGCTGCCTTGTATTTCAATCTTCAGACGGTTGTTCCTAATCAATGCGTAGGAGCAGCGATCCTCCACAGAGCTAACTGAGCCCAGTACGTCGACGACAGTGGGGCCGGTCACTGTGCACATGTACTTGCCCACACATCTAAAGGAGAGATAGAAAAACACAAAGGTCCTGAGTTCCCTCCTAGTTCCCTTATTTCCAGAAAAATCACTGAAAACCAAAGTGGAGGAAGAAGCAAGCCTCTTCATACTGGATTCATCAGCGGCTACGTGGAGCCACCAGCAGGCTGCGGCCGGCATTTTACGCAAATACCTGTCCACATCAAACTGGGAGTCCTTCTGACTGATTTAATCCCTGATTTGATTGTTTGGAAGTATAAACAGAGGATATTTACACTCCACCACCATTGCAGCCATCCCAGGCATCGCACTTTTCTGTTAGTGTTACGGTTCTGTTCAAACTGCATGATACAACTTGGCAGTTCTCAGGTATTTCTGTATTGGTATTAGGAACAATGCCAATCCCTGAAAAGTGAAGAAAGGTTTTCATGAGTTTTGGATGTCACAGATTACCTCCTTTTCCCAACATGGCTCTTAAGGATATTTTTGGGACCAGTGATTGACCAACCTGCATATCTGCATCCACTAATGTCTACCATGTCATCTGTGTCACTACTTTGAACTGCGAGAGTAGCAGCTTTATATTGTTCAACCAAAACTTGAAAATCCTGTTCAAAGAGAATCACAGTCAGTGATGTGAAGAACTAATTTCAGATTTTCATGACATTACATTTTAGGCTCTAAATAAATCACGTCCAACCTTTTAAATTAAGGTTTATTTCATGTTTATATCTTCATGATCAGCAGACACATTTCAAATAAAGGCTGATATTTCCAGCTGAATCCTGCTCAGCGGGTATTTTTGAAAACCTCAACTTAATTTTACATAGGTTGGAGCTTTGTGGCTGAGGCCTGTTCCAGGATCCAAAAGAAACGATATCCTCCACTGAAGTCACGTTTTGTACTTTTATTTTAAAACAAAAATGAATACAAATGAAAATATGCCTACTAACCTTTCATAAATCTAAATCTAAATGCAATCGGCACGGTCAGGAAACCGTGAGGCACCAACCCTCCTGCTGCCGTGTCAATCTAAGAATGGCTACCTTACTGGGCACTGCTCAGAATTCCAACGTCATTAAAGGCCCACCAAGTAACGTCCTGTAATTATTCTAAATCAACATTTTTAAACTTGTACATTTGTTTTATCCTAAAATATTAATATCACTCATGAATGTAAATGAAATATCAAATACACATAATATTCCACATTAAGCATAAAATAGGCATCTGGTGCCTATACATGCCCTCACAGAATTAAAACTCCCCTCAAACAAATGTTAATACTCACCATAGGAATCTGTGAAGATGTTGGGTAGTGTAGGTCCGCAACTGATTGATTTCCAAAACTATGTAGAAGCAGGGTAAGCTGTGTGGAGTTAAAAGAAAAGATGAACTGTCGTAACATTTGATCTGAAAGCTTTTTAGAACAACATTTAAACTGACCCCTCAAATCCAGGTACAAATTATTTTGCTGTTTAATCTGTTTGTCTCATAGGGAAAAGATTGCACACTCACCTGTGTACCTCCTTTGACTGCTGAAAACCATACAGTGCAAACCATGCCTTCTGTAATTGTTTTGACTTCGCTTTTGATAACGGCTTCCTTTAATAAAAATGCATTTGTGACTTCCAGAGTGCCTCCACTGACTCCGCGACCTAACTCAATACAGTCTCGTTTGAGTGAGGAATCGAAAAATCCATCAAAGCAGATGTAGTATCGAGTGCTGCTGACGTTCACCTGTAAAAGATCATAGAAACAAATCAAATCTGAATCTTTTCTTTATTTTCACACAGCTTGGTTTTCAATGTGTTGTTAATTATGGCAGCTTCAAAAAAGTCTATCATCCCTGCTACAATGAGCTGCTGATGAGCAGCAAACTGCTCCCACAGGAGCTCAAAACTTTCAGCCTGCTCAGGTTTAACTGGTGTGCACAAACTTTGACCAGACTGACTGAGTTTAAAAGTCATCCTGGTGGCCCAAAGGCTCCATCCTACTCACGTAGACTTCAGTGTAGACTTTCTCAAAGAAGGTGATGGGACAGGAGCTGATGCTCAGCGTTGTGCTCTCAGTTATTGACACTGGCGCAGCACCTGCAGAGATGAAGACACACGAGACGTCTGTGAGCAGGCCGGGAAACGCGCACAGCTGCAGATAAACATGGACAACTTTACTGTTGTTTTTAGGCTGCTAAAAGTTTGTGTTTCTTCCTCATTTGGACATTTAAATCCACTCTTCAGCACCTTTTCACACCTTTTGAAAAGCCTTCCTGTCTGTTTAACCCGTCTTTGTTCAATGAACTGTTTGCTGCTGCACTGACTTCATTAATTAATTGGTTTTATTTCATTCAGGAGAGTAAAGCTCTGACCTTTGGCTGCTCTCTGTCCCACCAGTATGCTTTCATTCAGGATGTGGGAATAAGCGCCTTTGTTCAGCTACAGAGGGGAATGTTTGTGTGTTTGTGCAGGGTGCCCGGCTTACCTGTCAGAGTGATGGCGGCACACATGTAGAGCAGGGGGGGGAGCATGTTGGAGCTGGGCCAATCCGCTGACCGAGACCTGGAAGGCACATGATTACTGAAACAACACTCACTGACTCTGTTTTCCCTTCTGGAAAGAAGGAAGCTCTCTACTGGAAAGTGAAGGCTGACGTCTCCGAATCCTTCAGGTTTGGATAAACGGGGTTCACAGCAGCTGCTCAGCAGCGCATTTCAAACTGCATGAAGCAGCTGTGATGATGGACGCATGGACACGTTGTCCAGTTTGAGATAAATCCACCTGACGCTGCTCGTTTCACTGTTTTTAAGATTCACTCAATTCAAACGATCTCTTAACGTTGAATGTATTATGATAAAAGTCTTAGAGAAATATTAATTAAAGGTAAACACCAACATGTGTGCCTGGTGTGAATGTTGCCGCAGCTACAAACAGACCGTTCAGACTTTGTAAAGGTTTAAGCTTTCTCATCATTAAAAAGATGGCTGAGTCGCCAGGTGACATAAAGGCCCTGATAGAGCCTCAGAGTTAAACCGGAGTGTGTGTAAAACAAACCTGAGCTGCTGATGAGGAGCGTCTCTTCTGGTATCTGCTGGAGAGAAGAGCACAAACAGAAATTGTCACGGTTACTCCAGCAATTTGCTCTT